ATTTATCTAACAGCGAGTGGAATGGACGACAAAGAAGACAAATTAAAAAACAAATATTTTGCTTCATCAGATGCTGTGGAGATATATAACACTTTTGAATTTGAAGCCAGGGAAACTTACGTCTGTCCTGGATAAATTCAAGGATTACTGCAACCCAATAAAAAATATAATATTTGAACTGCACATTTTCAACTCAAGAAGTCAAAGACCAATAGAACCTATTGACAGTTACGTTACGGATCTAAAAAAAACAAGGCCAGTCATGAGAATTTGGCGGGATCAAGGATTCGTTAAATCGAGATAGAACCATACAGGGCATTAAAAGTGACGGCGTAAAGAGTCGACTATTAAGAACTCCGGATCTCACCCTTGAGAAAACCGTGGAAATTTGTCGAATTAAAGAATATTAAGGAAAATTAAAGAATGTAAATATAAGCATTGAATTCAATTTCAATAACGCGCGGTATTCAATTTGTCGGCACGGCCAGGTGTGTTATAGGACCGAAGATATCCCAAAAGATGAATTCAATGCTTAAAAAGAACAATCATTTTTTTCTAAAATGTGTCGAAACACAATGCCACGGGAACCACATGAATTTAAAAATTCGAAGCGTTCAGTTAATACAGTGAATACCCATGAATGGGACAGTGAGTACAGCGTTGACACTGTCGCCATGGAAAACTCAAAAAGGGAATGGACGGCGCATATCAAAATAAAATGTATTTCACTTTAAAAATTAAACTGCGTCACGTACCTTTTTAATGCGGTAAGTAAAATTCGAAATGTTATTTCCTAGTTAAATATTAATTTGAAATTGCACATGGTTGCAAATTATTTGCCCCCTCCCCCTAGCACAGTGATAAGAGTGTTTCCTAGAAGTTGATTTTGAATCCCAAGTGGAGACAGGTCTTTCGCATGAGACCTATACACTGACGTTCAGTGTCACAGTAATAAATGCTGGTACAAAAACGATCCCTCTCTGCTGAATAACCTTGAAAGTCGAGTATAGATCTAAAATTTGCGTCCTCCATCGGTAAGTAATGATAAGTTAGTGAAAAATTCTCTAGATGGGCGCTAATTGAACAAGCCAGAATCAAATAATACATGTATTTCTGTCTAACTGTTTGTTGACAAAATGAAAAAAAATCTGCCTTTTAAATTTCCTTGATAAATTTTCCGCCTTTTGATTTTTCCTTAATTTTTCTCTTTACTCCGGTTCTATTGAAGAGAAATAAATTTGTTTGCTGACTGCTCCTATTTTGCATTGTTCTTATACATTTTTTTATCTTGAATACTGTTTGTTATATCTATATGTTTCATCCAAGTCTTAACATTCCAAAGAAAACCATGTCATAACTTCGGGAGTTTACTTCTTTTAAAAAATTACAGCCATTTTCCCCGACACCCATGACGCAATGAATAAACGGTAATTTGTGAATTCGTTCCTTCGTCGTTTCGCCGACATAATTTGATGGTGGCCGCTTTTAATACAAATTCTAGAATACAATCTCTTTAGTTTGATTAATGTCCTAAAATAAAATGTGGAAACGTAACATTTATTTCCCGTCTTTTGAGATTGATTTTTCTTTTTTTATTCATTTTAAAATAAGGTTTCTCTGCACATGCACTTGTTTCAAATATATTTTTTTAAACCCATTGTATTATGATAACAAGTGTTATTATTATTAACATTAAGGAAGTTAAAGAATTATTGATAGACAGAAGTATGATATCATGATATCCTGTCAAGTGAAGGGCTTCAAGTATATTAAAAAGTAGAAGAGTCATTTATTTTCAATCTATATCTAGCCAGAAAAATGGGAAGTTATAATTGTGTAAGTTTTATTTAATATTATTGTATTTTACCGTATAATTTACGCATCTTTCTATTACTATTGGTACTTACTAGAATGTTTCGCCAGCTTACTCAGTAAGGAATGAAAACCGGATATAGACTAGTTGGCATGTCTGTATTATCATATACCTCTCCCAACAAAGTTGGGTCATAATTCTATTAAGTCTTCTTCTCAGTATTTATGAAGATGCAACAATGAACGAATCATTAAACCCCTGGTTAGAAAGTTGATCGAAATGGCTGTATCTCTGACTGTCTTTAACGATTTGGGGGACCCATCTCATCCTCTTAAGCCACTGATGAAATTTAATGAGACTTTCACAGACCAAAAAATAGTGTTATTATGCATTTCCTATTTCATTTTTTGATCGGACACATATGTTTGGTTTGTCGTAGCAAAAGGTGGAAACTATCATTATTCCTATAACACCGAAGTGTACTTTTCTTATCCGCAACTCATCTCATACTACATTATGATTTCTAGTGATACTATCACAGATTCATCATTACATGATGCCATTGTGCGTCTCTTGTTTCACATTTGATCTGACACTTATTTCAGGTCTCCCTGAGCAAAACATGGACTATGCCATTATTATCATATATGGGGTGGGGGTATCATTTAGCAAGGGCAGTGCTGACAGTGCGTCTTGTTAAAGACTGGAACTGTAGAAAATAATGCAATTTTCAGAAGAAAAAAATGGCGGTTATTTCCTTATTCTTATTTTAAATTTATTATATTTCAGTTGCTCATTGATTAGATATAAAGAAAAAATCACAAAATCATATTGTGATATAACTTTTACTTTTCAGATATTTTTGACTTTCTTTTGTGTCTTCGTGGCTGTTTTGGGAATAGAAAGTTGGAATCATTGCACAAGTAATCCTAATTGTCGCTGTATCCCAAAAGATAACAAAAACTATATAGCAGACTGTTCGAATCTAGCAATCACAGAGGTACCGCGAACGCGACCAGATGTCGACACTCTCAATATAGGACATAATAGAATAAGTCACATCATGCATCCGTTCAGTCCCACACTTGTGAATTTGGATATGTCTTATAACCAGCTTCAAAACTTTACTCATGACGTGTTCGCAAATTTAACACGCCTGAGAACTCTAAATTTAGAAGGAAATCAACTTCAATTGGACGACAGTGTACTCAGACCGGAAGTCTTCCGAGACATAAAAGCTTTACGTTCAATAAACATTAAGAAGACTATAGTCAAAGCACAGAGCACATTTCCATATAACATGTGGGGCCAGCTGTCCTCGTTAGAGACTCTCCGGATTGACGTCATATCATCGACACAATTTGGTCGACAGTTTCGCTCTTTAAGGTCATTGACTGTCCTGGATGTATCAGGCTGCTCCGGGTTTTGCTCGATAGAAGAAATTGGAGAAAAGTTCTTGGAAAATCTGCCTCACTTGGAGATTCTGGATTTGTCTTGTTGTCAGATAAAAGGATTCTCAGCAGGTGCCCTGAAAAAACAACGAAATATAACGGTCCTTGATATTTCATACAATGAAAACTTACATTTGCAAGTTTTGCAAATATAACAAGCGATTTACAGTTTTCCAAAATAAAGGTTTTCAAAGCTAATAAAATCCACTGCACGTATGGATTAGGTACTGTGATACAAATTCGTGACGTCATGCACTTTCGGAACACTTCTCTTGAAGAAATTTACCTAGAGAACAACAGACTAGCTCTTGTAGAAAGATATGCTATCCGCTATTTTCCTCACACTCTCAGAGTAGTGTCGCTCGTCCGAAATAAAATGTCACCTGGTACTTACTTGATGGATGTCGTGTTCTTGACAGGGATGGAATCACTTGACTTGTCCCTCCAGATGGGGTCCACGCCCATCAGCGACCTTATAGACGCTTTCACTTGTCAAAATCCTATACGACCTTCCAATAACACAATAGAGAGTCATTCCAACAAATTCAACACAGAACCATTTCAAATGAGATACAATACTAGTATCACCGAAACTCTGCCAAGAAATTTAAGAACGCTCATACTGAGAACATGTGGCATACGTCTGGAACTGTTTAGGATTCTTGTTAACCCGTCCAATCAGTTATCCCATGTTGACCTTTCACAGAACGTAATTACCAGCTTCACGGGGCCTATTATAGGATTTAATAAACTGAAATATTTGGACTTGTCAGATTGTCTTTGTTCCTCGCTTTCAACTGTTTTTTTTTTTATTTAACGACAGCACTGCAAGTCTTAAAGCTTAACAAGAACCTGTTAGGTTTCAGTTTGAAAGACGATTTGGACGGAGGAACCTTTAAGAATCAGGTCAATCTTCAAGAGCTAGACTTATCGGACAACAGAATACAACGGCTACCTGAAATGTTATTCAAAAATCTAGGAAAGCTTCAAAAGCTGAATTTAAGTTCTAATTTCCTGACAGAATGGAATGTGAAGATGAGTAACATGCGGAACTTGCTCATGATTGATATTTCAGTCAATAAGATAAGGCAACTCAGTCAGGACGCCACAGTCTCTATTGCAGAAATGTTGAAAAAGAATACACATTTTAAAATTTTTCTGGCAGACAATCCTTTTGCTTGTTCATGCGATTCTCGACATTTTTTACAGTGGTCTTCCAAAAATCGCAAGCATATCTCGGACTTTCATCAGATGAAATGTAAGTTAGACAATGGAACAAGCTTTGGTTTCCAAGACATAGAAACAGTTTTACGATTGCTTGAAATTCAGTGTAAAAATTATCAAGTGTTAATATTCATAATAACTTCTGTCATAGTGTTCTTTGTGATAATCATTGTTACCGGTTTAATTTACCGGTACCGATGGAAACTGCGGTACTTGTTTTATATGACTAAAAACAAATACCGATTAGTCAGACCTATATATCGGGATACGTTTACGTTTGATGCCTTTATATCATATGCCGATGAAGACAGTGACTTCGCGGTACACGAGTCGATTTCCAGCTAGAGGAATCAAGAGGACTGCGCCTGTGCCTCAGCAAGAGGGACTTCCGGCCCGGTACAGAGATCGCAGCTAACATTACAGAAGCCATCACCAAGAGTCGTAAAACAATCATAATTCTGTCCAATCACTTCCTGAACTCTTACTGGTGTATGTATGAATTCAATATGGCAAGGATGGAGAGTATTTATACCCGGAATGGAAAGCACGTACTGTTCATGGTTATGTATCGACACGTGACTGCTAAGATGTTGCCTTTATCAATGCTGGCCTTGGTAGAAAGTCATTCCTATATCGAGTACCCCGACGATCCTCAGGGGAACATCGTTTTCTGGGACAAAGTAGCTGATACATGCAGAAATCCGTCAGATTAAAGTAGCTGACACCTGGAAAAGCATTCAGATTAATATAACTGATACCTGCAGAAAACCTTGATTAACCACTGAGATCTGTAATAGGTCCTTAAGACAACAAATCTGAAACCTGTAATAAGCCTTCTTTATAAAAAAAAAAATAGATGAAATGAAAAAAAAAAAGAAAAATCTGATTGATCTCAAGAAACTTACAAAAATACAGATTTGTGAGCTATTCATTATGCAGATGGTGAACAGCATACTCAAACTCAAAAGTCCAAAGGGACATTATATGAAATTTGGAGCTTATCAATCACGATTCTTCAAAATAATCATTTCCTGTCAACTAATCAAATCAGCGGAAAACCTATTTTAAAAGTCGTCAAGATAAGAATAGCCAAACCTGGGGAAATTTTAGATTTAAAAACACTGAATTCACGAAAAAGCTTTAAGCTCTAACCCTGCAAAAGGCTTGCAAAATAAAAATAACTGAAACCCGCCAAATGAAGACACAACGGAAACAGCCATCTTATTGATATTCTCCCTCAGTTGAAATGCAGATGTTTCTAAACATTAGAAGTTGTTGCTTAACGTAATTAAGTCATACAGGTATACCACTTTGTAAAAGTGACACCACAAAATTGAGGATCTGATTCTATGGGTTTTCCCTGCAGTTTCACATGTAGAGTGATCTGCCCTTAGATCTGAATTATAACAAATAGAAATTTACAGTATATTACCCAATTTGTAATTAATTCAAGTATTCTTAAGATTTTAAAATGCCAAGAAAAATTAATTGAACATGTTATTTAAATGTAATGTGTACATCATGGAAGTAAACAACAGTGATATCTATTCACTGATACAATGTTGTCTTAGTACATTTTTCCCTGAGGTAAATGACACGTACCATATTGAAAATTAAATACTATACAGTTGGAAAATAACTCGCGGTGTAAATATTCGCTATATTCACGGTATTTGAAAATGAATCCATGAATTAAAAAAAACAGTGAATAAGTTTTCAATAGGTATAGATAAAGGAGGAAACTTTTATCATATACCAATACAGCGAATTCAAGAAACCGTGATTGTGTCAAAGAAGAGAAGAACGTGAAAATAACAACCAGTGAAATAAATCCTCTACTGTGAAGTCACTAATTTTCGTGGAGTCACTTTCACATTCTATAAGTATAACTATGTATTGTGTGTAGATCCGATGTAATAGTGTACCATAAGATGAAAATTATAATACTTGTACACGTGAAAGTGTTATATCAATAATTTTTTTTTAATTTAAAAACAATATCAGTGACAGTTAAACACTGAATGAAAGTGAGTAAAATGTGGTGCAAGGATGGTCCAGATGTCATTGATTTTTAGTAAAACCAGTTTTTTTTTTAAATTTGATAAAGATCACAAAAAAATGGTAATTACACACACTACGTACCGCAAAGTACAGATTCATTGTTTTTAAGTATCGGTGATATTTTATTTTCTTTCATTTGTACATTTGTTGACAAGACTCATTTGTTGTATTAATTTGAAAATATCATACCATTCTATAAAGTAGTTTTTAAATTTAAATACATTTATTAAAGTGAACACTTAGAAATTTTGTTAAGTGTATAGAATAAAAATCTCTACTTTTCCGCTTAAGCATAGTTATTGACCCTAATTTTTCATTTCCTCGTACATTAATAATTTGAAACTTAACATGGTTGAAAAAAAATTTTGATGCCCGCCTGGCACAGTGGTAAAAGTGTTTGCTAGGAGTTGAGTTTGAATCCCGCGTGGGACGTGGAAAATGGTGCTTCAAAAGAGACCGTATAAACCATGTTACTACTGCAAGTGCAGTATAATGAAAATAGACCCAATTCTGCTCAATGACCCCGAGATCGAGTGAGTAAAGGTCTAATGAGCCCTCAATCGATTAGTGATGGCGTTTCAATCAAGCTAGTCTTGTCCTGATTTTTAAAAAGTAGGCTAGAAATAACTTCTTACGGCAAATAATTATTATTTGGTCCAGCATACTTTTTCAACCTATTTCGAGTATGCTGAAAAATGTTGGCCTCCATGAAAATGGTGTTAAAGATGTCAAAATGGCGATTCAAAATGGCGGACATCCAATTTTTCTAATTTTCTGATAGTATTGTTCAAAATGGAGAGGTTATGTGTGAATATCTCTCACTGAGTGTAATAAAGCTTTTAAAATGATAATAGAATGCTTACATTCTTAGTTTAATTCAGAAAATTTAGTCGTTTCTACACTTAATTCGAATTTTCTCTGATTTATTTGTCGATTGTTTCTACACTCTGCTTTGGTAAGGATTTTACATTTGCAAATATCCATACACTGCAGATTTGTATTTTTACCTCTGCATCTCACTATTCTATAATTGAATAATGGTGCAGCTGTAACTTAAATTTAAATTTTCGGAAAAATCTCCGCAATGGTCCATCCATAAGGCCAGATAAAATTAATCATTAGATTCTCATCCTAATTTGCTAAAAAATTGGGGCGGATGGGCGGATTTTATTTTTTATACATATTAAGTTATAAGTATCAACACAACATAGACTCTTGGTACCCTTTTTTTATTATGTTAATGCCAATACGAATAGATTTTGTTCTTTCCATATTCTTTATTATATCTAAAGAAGATTCTTGTTTTAAAAAATAAAATATTTATTGCCGGTTAAATAACAAATTATCAGGTACACACATACGGCACACGCCAAACAAAATGAGGTGGGGATATCAATAAATTGTGTATGCGTGACTTCTCATCGGCCTTAATTTCCCCAAATACCTTTTAGTTTTACCAATAAAACCGTTTTCTGTAAAATATCATAGATTTCCACCTTCCTTAAAAATTTGATCGTTCTTGAGACTTGACATGTTCGACATTAAAATAGGTCATATCTGCAAAATTTATAAATTATTCTAATAAAATATTCTAGTGAGAAACCTAGAGGCCTGAATGGTTTAACATTTAAATTTCCCTA